GTAAAAAATTTCTTAGCAACATAATAATATCTAATTATTATAATCATAGAAAATGCTGATGTTTAAGTTGGCATTATTTTTACGAATTCTTTTAAATTTAGAAGTTTCTATTTAATTTAATAGATTCTTATTATCCAGTTGTGAAATATAGTTGAGTGAATATATATTTAATTAGTGTATAAATCCAGTTAAATTTGTCAGGAAAACAATACCTAATCAGGACAATTCCTCTTAATGGCGTTTAAGAGTTGATCAAAGCGATAAAGCAGTCCTTGAAGCAGTCACTCATGCAAATACAAAATTATAAAGCTACAATATCAGAAAAGCTGAAAATATGACCAAGAACATGTTAAAAGCACGAGTCATTAAAGGAATAAAGTTGATTTTTCCAGCGATAATTCCGTTTTTATGGTTAAAATATGACGCGTGGCTTTAAATATACTCCACGTTCTTGTTGATGTCATTAGTATTTTAAGCATACGCTTTAAAAAAAGTTAATAATAGTTTTGTTTAATTCTACTCTAACTGGTACTATAATGTCTTTATGGTTGAAATTACTTTCATAATCGAGATATTTTTAATAGCCAATTTCAATTTCGATAAGTTGGTAATTTATTTTACAAAGAAATTTTTATGAATGGTAATTATTATCATCATCATTATCAAAAAGTTGAATTTTCTCGTTAAGTAATAATATTGGGTTCCATCTTGGTATAAAACTGTCTGATCTTTAAGTTCTGAATATTATTAGATAACTATTTAAATGAAAATTCTGTGAAATTAAATTTTTTTCAACAAAGACGTCAAAAAACGTTAAATATCTTTTATTTTAGGATTAAATATCGACGTCACTTTATTTTTATGCCTATAATTGTGTTTGTTTTTTCTAGTAGAAATTAATTGGTGATGAAAACTATTCGTTTTTGTAAAAATACCTATTTTTTTAGTTTAAAATTCATATTCCACATTGTTCATGTTTTGCATTTTTTGTCCATAAATAGCAATGCTTGTAAATGTTTTGCATTATTTAGAATAACAAATATTTCGATAGTATTAAGAAAAATAACTCTTACAAATTAAATTTTAGATTAATTACAACATTTTTTAAGAACTTTGTATGTACGTATATTTTTCTACTAGATAATTAATTTTTTTTCTGTATTAACAATTGTACAAAATATATATAGTAGAAATATCAGGAATCATTGTCATGTGACTGAATTCTATTTTTCAGCTTGGCAACGAAATACATAAAACTTTAACAACACCACTGGATTAATGAATTAAATCTCATTTATTTTTTTATTAATGAAGTTAGAATTAGATAATTGTATTTTTACCACCACTCGTCTCTAATTTGTCACTGTCTACGAACTATATGTAAATATAACAAATCAAATTTAGGCTTTTCATTTATCAATCAAAGTATGAAGGTTGTCACAGGTCGGCGATGTTTTTCTTAAATTATCGCAGCCTGTGTAAGGGCGCCTTCCGTCTTATTGGGGTTCAAATGGTTCTCAACCTCAACTTAAAAAAAATATGACGTATCCAACACATGACTTTCTTGTCTAGTTATTACAGGATTTTTCCGATTATTCTGTACTCTATACAGCCTATTTATTGCACCACCCCTATAAATGTTTAGAGGATGAACTAAATATATAAATTTTCCACAATCATCTTACTTGAAACATTTTTTTATATACCGGGTGTTCAAATTAAAGTGTTACAGTTAAATACCGCCGAAAATATGCATTTTAGAAAAAAAAGTTTCAGACAAAAGTTTTATAGTTTTTTGGGGGAAACATTTTGGCTAAATTAATTTTTTTTATAGCTGACCATAATATGGCCATATCGAGGTAGACTTTGTTTTTTTAAATGGGAATCCCATTTTTTTCTTACATATTCTTAAAGTACATAAAAAAATAAGAAACTTTTGATGGAAATATTTTTTTTATTGGACTTTTACTTTTTGAGTAACAGCTACTTGAAAATTTTGCTGGGCGAAAAAAAAGTTGGCTATATTATGGTTAGCTATAAAAAACGATTTTAGCCAAAATTTATTCCCCACAAAACTATAAAACTTTCGTCTGAAACGTTGTTTTTATAAAAGGCGGTATTTAGCTGTAACACTTTAATTTGAACACCCGGTATATTCATTGCCAACGAAAATACTAAAAAATTAAAATTTTACACTTCTCAAATTTTTCCATCACGATCTATTTTGGAGAAATCATGTATGAAATAGAAATTATAGAGATCGATATCACAAACAACTTTTAATTTAACAATTTTCTTGAAAAAAATGAATTTTGCACTTTTTGTCTTCTTGAATACGGGCCATTTTAAGAAAATTATGTATATGACTACAAGCAACTTTTATTTGAAGAATTTTCTTCTCCAAGCGTAAATAACATATATTCCATAAAATAGAAAAACGACCTTCTATAAAGTATCCCCCATATTTTTCGACTTTGCTCAAAAATTTAATCATTTTACCGCCTATAATTAAAATTGGGTGTTTTTCTATGTATCCGCTTTTGAGTTGTCTTCAAAATTCGAAATTTGTACTTTTTCTCAAATATCTCGAATACTCTCCATTTTAGAGAAATTATGTATATGATAAGAATTATAGATAATAATTTCACAAATATGAGCAATTTTCATAAAAATTTGAATTTTTTTACATTTTCTCATATTTCTCGAATACAAACCATTTTATGAAAATTTTGTATATAGGAAAAATTATAGAGAATAATATTAGAAATAACTTTTATTTGAAGAATTTTCTTCTCCAAAATGACCCCTATAAAGTACCCCCTCCCCAGATGTTCCGACTCTGCCCAAAATCTAAACCGGAATAAAGCTTAATTTTAAAATTTGGAAATACGTTAAAGGGCATTTACCAAGGTTGGCTTTGATTTTAGTTTATTATTTATGTATATATTAGATTATTGTTCTTATGTTAACTAAACAGTATTATGTTACATTACTTATACGGGGGTGGATCGTATAGAGAGTAACTAAAGCATCTGTTAAAACTGCTCGTCATTTTTGAACAAAGCTTACATAAATTTCATGACTATTTGACTAAGTATTTGTGTCTACATAAATCTGATGATCATCGATGATCGAAACTAGAATGCACTTGTTACTTGAAAGGTACCTTTGTAGGTATAATGGGGGTAAAAGTCGAAGACTTGGGCATATTCACAGCCATATTTCTTCTTTTTCATATGTATTACCTTTCAAGTAACGAGGTAAGTCGTTGTAGATCATACGACCATTTACGAAATATGAAATTTTGACAGCAAATGAAACTAGTGACAGTGACATTCATACCAATATAGTAAAAAAGAAACATTCATGTTCTGTGATATCCATGGATACCTACCTATTGTGATTTATGTAAAAAACTATTTAATATTGAGTTGAATTTTTTATTAAAATGATTATTGTTCATTAAGAATAATAGAAGATCATTTTGAAAACATTTTTTTTTTTTTCATAATCATTGAAACTAGAAACAAAGAGTACAAAATATAACTATAAAAGAGAAGTCACTCGCGGCATTTACAAAGGAAATCGCGCTTCAAATGCGGACCGACAAGTCGGCGTTTCGTTTTTTCAAAGACTACAGAGCTAATTGGGCTATACCGGGGTTAAGCGGTAAGACGCGGCGGCGATGATAGTGGAATGTAACGGCCAATACACAGCGGAATATAACGTAGCGGAGCAAACGAGCCTTACGCGTTGAACTACACCGGTATACTGACGATCGAGAAAGGACTGTGGAGGACTGGCGGCTGATCGCGTTAGAAGGCGGTAATTGGGCGAGTGACTCCTCTTTTATAGTTATATTTTGTACTCTTTGCTAGAAATTCTAATTTTATTTGAACAATTTTCTTAAAAAATTGATTTTTTTTACTTTTTGTCAATTTTCTTGAATACGGACCATTTTAGGAACATTTTGTATATGCTAAAAACTATAGAGAATAATATTACAAGCAACTTTTATTTAAACACTTTTCTTCTTTAAACGTAAATAACAGATATATTCCATAAAGTAGAAAAGCGACCATTAATAAAGTACCCCTTAAATGTTCCGACTATGCCCAAAATTTAATCAGTTTATCGCAGGATAGATTAAAGCTTAAATTTAAAATTTGGTATTTTTCTTTTATTCTATTTTTGGGTTATCTTAAAAATTCGAAATTTGTACTTTTTCTCAAATATCTTGAATACGGTCCATTTTAGAGAAATTATGTATAGGATAAGAATTATAGAGAATGACATCACAAACAACTTTTATTTGAACAATTTTATTAAAAATTTGAATTTTTTACTTTTTATCAATTTTCTCGATTACGGTCCATTTTAGGAAAATTTTGTATAGGGCTAAAATTATAGAAAATAATATTGCAAGCAACTTTTATTGTATTTTCTTCTCCAAACGTAAATAACAGACATATTCCATAAAATAGAAAAACGGCCCACTATAAAGTACCCCCCAGATGTTCTCACTATGCCCAAAATATAATCGGCACACCGCAGGCCAGAATAAAGCTTAAGTTTGAAATTTGGTGTTTGTCTCTGTATCTGTTCATGAGTCATGTTTACGGTTGATCAACTTGTTTAAAAAAAATAAACTAATGAAAAACATTAATGTATTCTAATATTTTTTTGTAATTAATGTTATTTTATCTTTATTGTCCTATGAAATTTTTTGTAAATGGAATCAATATTTTTAATTTTGACAAAACACTATCTGTAAAACGCTTTAAAAACTATCCAATAAGGCATATAAAAAAAAACAAATCTAATACCAGCTACATCTTGATGGAATCTTTAAAGCCAGATTTCCTAGTTTTACATATTTTTTTTTTGATAAAATTATTTTACGAAGGGATAGAAAGTGAACATTTTCTCTCAATATTTCATTCTCCTCAATTTAAAGCTTAGACACCATGATGTCTTCTTAATACATGTTTTTTTTTTAGGTGGACTCAGATACAACTTGGAATGACATTTACACAGCTCCTGCCGCCAGGATGGCTGTTGGTTGTACAGTGGATTTGGCCGTTCGGACCTGGACTGGAGATATCAGGAACGGTTTCGCGATAGTTCGACCGCCTGGACATCACGCGGAACCTCAACAAGCTATGGGATTTTGTTACTTTAATTCTGTAAGTGTTGATATGATAATTTTTTAATTATCTATAATAAAATAATCCCGCTAATAAATCTGGAGCTATAAAAACAGAGGATCTTGGTGCCAAGCCTAAAATGGTCGAGTGGGAAATCCTACCAAGGCATCAGAATTACTTTTAAATAATTAAATTAAATGAAAAAAATCCTGCCAATGGTGGGATTCGAACTTGGGACCCTTGGATCCGCAGGCAGAGACTCTATCACTGAGCCACCTACCCCCTAAAATGTTAAAACCTAAAATGGATGGAACTGATTTTTTTTAATATCGTTGTTTGGCCAAACCATAATTGTTTTGACAGTAATTAACCAATAATTAATAAGTTTATAAAGAATGATATATTAACCATATCGCAATTTTCATGTGGTCAGTTTACTTAATGAAAGAATAAAATCTCAATATCAATACTACATAAATTTATTGTATTTGATAAATTCTGGTGCGACTAGTTTCGGCCTCATAAGATCATATTCAGACCTGTAATTTACTTTAAAATGTATCTATTGCAGGCCTGGAGATGGCCATGTGAGGCCGAAACTAGTTGCACCTGTATTTAGGCAATAAATTAAATGTATGTGCTATTGATTTAAAGATTTTATTCATACATTTATTATGTTTATATTTGTTGACGGAGATTATCGATTACATTTGTACAGGAATTAAAACGGTTTGCAGTAGATATATGACAGAAAAAATTACAGCTGAACACTATTGATTATAATATGTCCCATAAATTCCGTCGAATTCATAATTAAAGTTGTTTTAGTAACTTAACGTGTCAGAAACAATACTAAAATAATGATTGGAGATTATACACAATTGCTATTTTTAGAACAAAAGTTTTTCAAACAGGTTTTAATAGTTTCATTGATAACCTTTTTTGTTGGAATACGTTTTTTAAGCGTTTAATGATTTATGTGGATTTTTTGAATTACCTACTTATCGAAATTTTTATAATCGTTCCTAAGAAACTCTTATGGTTGTTTAAAAACTTTTATCTGATATTTTTCCAACAAAGAAATAAAATTATGTGATTAATTTAAGAGATATCTGGAATTTAATTACAGACAAAATTTACAACTGTTTATTGATGAAATAATAAAGTATAAAGGGTGTTTTTAAAATACATGTACATATTAAAACTGGTTAATATTTATACTTTTCTCGAATGTGAAAATATATATACAGTGAGCACCATAAGTCTTACCCCCCCCTATCTAACTCGTTACTGGAGTCTTGTTAGGAAAATCGCTGAGACACGTCGATTTTTGATTTCTACAATGTACATTTTCGTCTAAATAGTTTACCCTTAATTTAATCCCTTACTGGAGGGGAGCAACCCTTTAGAATAATTTAAATGGCATGGGGTGGTGAGTGATAGCTCATTTGAAAGAGGGTTTTATTCTCTATTCAACCGTGTAAAAAAATTTGAAATTTGCTAAGTTTATTTTTGGATAACACATTGCCTACCTGTTTTAATATGTACATGTATTTTAAACCACCTTATATATTTTAGTTTAAATTTTTTCACTAGGTAGGTATAGCCGCGCGCATCCTTCAGAGGGAGCACCGCGTTCACAAGATACTCATTTTCGATTGGGACGTTCATCACGGCAATGGTACCCAGGAGATATTTTACGATGACCCTAGGGTCCTAGTCATATCAATGCATCGACACGACGATGGCAATTTTTTTCCCGGTACCGGAAGCGTTACCGAATGCGGGACAGGAGCAGGAGTGGGGTAAGTGCATATTCTAATGGAAAATGGGTGAACTTGATTTATTTTTTGTTCGTAAATTTGCCAAAATAAGTCACTAAATCGTTTTTGGTAAACAAGCTTGCCTTTTCATCTTTTTTCTAATCTCTGAAGAGAAAATGATCTTCTGTTGCTAAATAACGCAATGCATATCCCTATTCTGTAACATTGTAACTACAGTTTTTTTCTAAAAACTTGCTATCTAACCTGTTTCTTAGTAACTATATAATAACTTTGACAAAAGTAGCTATTCTGGTATTCATGGTTGTTATAAAAATAATACACTTTGTATGTGTGATGTAAATCATGCTTTTAACAACTTAACTTTTGGATCGGGACATATATGTACTCCTTAAAGTGGTAGAAACAACTGACTTTGGTCTAAACAACTTGCTTAGTAGCAACTGTATAATACAGAATCAGAAAAGACTCCGTAATTTCTCATGCAATTCTACAACTTTAATATCTGTTTCATATTCGTGTTTTTTTTTGTATTGGTATGGTGCATTTTTGATAACAAATGGTTCGTTTACGATGAAATTTTCTTTGTTTTCGTTTTTAATTTTTTAGTTAACATATCACAAATTACAGCAACCTCCAGTATCCGAAATATGTACAATCTTCCTAGTATAATATATTGAGTTTATTGTGTAAACACAACTAACATTACGATTCAACTGCCTCATATTTTGTTTTACCCTTCGACCCTCCTGTGCTATCACTCTAATCCATCTGAAGTATGGAGGCACTGTAGCCCTCAAGGCTTATTTAGCCACAATTTAAAGATCCTACTGTCATACCCGTACACTCACTCATTGAACGGTATTTACTCCACGTCTTTGCTAGTGAATGGTTAAACGCTAATCCCATGATAGAACTTCCTTGCAGTATACTGACTGCTGAGCTGTTATGAAAACTACCTCATAGTAAACTCTCACTAGTTCTCTAACAACGTGTCACCGCGCCTTAAGGCATACACCAGTGAATAAATACAGTTTTTAGTGTATTATTTACTATAAGGTTTTATAAAATGCGATTTTTTTGTCAGATTCAATGTAAACATCGCCTGGTCCGGAGGATTGAATCCACCTTTAGGAGATGCCGAATATTTGGCTGCATTTAGAAGTATCATCATGCCAATAGCTAGGGAATTTGATCCCGATGTTGTGTTAGTTTCTTCCGGTTTCGATCTTACAGAAGGACATCCAGATCCTTTGGGTGGATACAAAGTGTCTCCAGCATGTTTTGGGTAAGTTAAAAATATTATCCATGTGATTCTGTTTTGCCATTTTGATTATAAACTCAAAATACTGGTTTCTTTTACAGATACATGACACGTCAACTCATGTCCCTCGCTCGAGGACGGATAGTCCTAGCATTAGAAGGCGGTTATGATCTCCCTTCGATATGCGATTCAGCTGAAGAATGCGTCAGGGTACTTCTTGGCGACCAACCGTCACCAATAAATGCGGTGGAGCTATCGCGCATTCCTTGCCACAACGCCATTATAACCATGCAAAAGGTGATCGCCATACACAACCAGCGATGGTCTTGCCTACAGGAAGCGGCTAAAAGCGCTATGTGCTCTTTCAACGACGCTGTCAGGAACGAAAAAGAGGACAAGGATACTGTCAACGCGATGGCCAGCTTGTCCATGCAACATCCTGTCACTACGATGTCAATATCGCCTATCGGGTTCCTACAGAATACCAGTCCTCAAAACGTCATACGTCCCAGCGCCTGAAGGAAATACAACCGCCCAGACCTCGTTATCGGAGTCGATATGACAGAATAATTCAAAATGCCGGAGGCAGAAAAATTCAAGTTTGATTATTTCAGGCGTCGGAAGTTGGTTTAACTAAACGTGAGAAGTTGGTGCAATGAATTAATTTTATTTTGAAAAAAAACCTAGGAAATTGTTATGAAAAATGGGGGATGTTGATGTTACAAATACACATACAAAAATTGGTGTTTTTAAAGATTGTATCGTCGAACTGTTAATGGTTTGATGCCACCGGGCAAGACTTACATGAATGATGGCCTAAAAAATGTCTGGTTTTGTCAATTAAGATTTGAAGTTATGCCTGCAGCTTAATTATTATGTCCAGTTTGTGTAAAACGTTGTTTGCTAGTAAATACATGATTGAGATGACAGTTGAAAAACTACCTTTAGAGTATGGTCTGATATTTACCGACTACTAACCTGTATTTTTTGATAGCCGTTGATGAAAAACAAACGTTATTTGTTGGTTACACTTAGAGTCTCTTCAATCCTGTGACAGATTGACATTTCGATTTAGGGATATCCGTGAAAAATACCGGTTATTTTAGCGGAGTTTCTATAGTCAGGGACTGGAGCAGGACAGGAGTAGAGTTTTTTAGAAGGCTTTTAACTGACATTTAAGCATGTTGAACTGTCAGTAAGCGAAATAAACGAACACTAAAAGAGTCGTTTGGAGTTAAAGGAGTGAATGGAACTTGGCTATCTGAACTCACCTTATATTGATATTTGAATTAGCATTTTTCAGGCAACCACGTCCCTTGTTTAACTGGTTTTCACGAATGTCAATATTGGATAATGTAACCATTATTTCGGTTTATATCGGACCATTATCATATAACGATTTTGTCACCTTTACCTACGGTGTTGAGTTATTCAATCCTGGTATTTTTTTTAATTCCTTGTAATTCACAACATGTGGTTTTTCTAGCAGTCTGCAGTTTTTTTTATGGAGTCTGGAATAAATAAAACGCCTATTTAGTATGACTAGGAAACGTATATTGATAATATAGTGGTTATTACATAAAGCATTTTATGCCGCCATTTCACAAGTGACAACTGACAGAGTACTTACATAAATATTTCAACTTGGTTAACCGGTCTGGTTTTTAGTTTTTGACTGGTTTGACATTGGTTCTCGTTTCAATAATTGTCAAATGTCAAAAGAAAAGATTTGTTTTTGTATAATATGTATTTGTTTAAAATAATTTATTGAGATTAATGAAATAATAAATGGATAAAGCAGCAGTCTAACCCGAGCGATGTGGAAGAATTACGCTGCGGAAAGCTCAGCGTTGCTATGGATGCCAAAATGTATTTCTTTAATATAACATGGAAACAAAATGTTATTGTTTTTTGTTAACTACAACACTTTCTGTAAACAATTGCCAAACTTCAACCACTTTAACCTCTGAAAAAGATTTGTTATTTTTGTCACACATCTGTCAACCGATTTTCAATAAACAAGTTCTGTGTACCAACCAGATTTTAGGAATCTGATAATTACGAAACAGGAATTTAGTAACCAGGTTAACCAAGTCGGTATATGGAATATACTGAGTGACAATCCATCTTTATTATGACAGTTCACCTACATGCAAGTTGTGCAGTAATATATTTGGCTTGTTTTAGAATTTATTCCGGAATTCTCTTTTTTAATGTTGCTGATTGCATTTCGATCCTTTCTGTTGTGAATTATCTGATATCTTCAAGTTGTTGAATCACGATTTTTTTATTCGGAGAGTTTTGTAGAATAAAAGTTGAAAAGTTGCTTTGAAAATTGTATATATAAGAAAACAATACATTCCACAATAATTGATAATTTTATGCGACGGAAGATTGTTTTAAGAATATTTTACTATTATACTTATCGACTTAGTAAGTACAAAATGTTTCAGAGAAAAATTATAAATACTCAGTTTTATAAAATTATCAAAATTGTAAATCAGAAAAATAACTGAATTATTACAAATTTTTAAAATAATTCACTGTGTGACTGAATTGGATACGTAAAGCATGTTGTTTGTATGAACATTTTGAATTGTCCTATACAGATCGTTAAATTTCTTACGTTTCCTGATAAAGATAGATTATTTCAGATGAACATAAAGTGGAATTAATCACGCTTAAATGTTAATTCATATTCATAGCACATCTTGATGCATCATAGTGGTTAAGTTGTTAGTACATTAAACAAAAGAACATGGATTTAATTCTCATTGGGAAATAAGAAATTTAACAATCTATATGTGCCTTCTATAATAATTATTCAGAGCGAAAGATATTCATTAAAATAGGAGTGTTTGAATTTTGAATTCCAAAATGGAATTTTCGAAATAATTGTAAACCCTATAAGCTCATTGCCCGGTGGCTCAGTTCGACCATTGTTCAAATAAAAAAAATAATGTTGAATTTATTGTTGTATAATTATTAAAAAAAGAAGTGCAAATTGAAACTCAACTGTTTTGTAAAGAGATACAGGATGCTCATACTTTCATAACTAAATATATATAAAGGAAAAACTTTCGTGTTGAAATGCAATTTTAAGTAACACGTTTTTGTGATTGTGATAAATATTAAAAATTAATGATTAGGGTGTTATTTTATTTAAATATCAAACGGATAATTTTAAACGAAATTCTGTAAAAAAAAACTTATTGCTAGGAATTTGGAGGTTATTTTCTGTGTTTGGTTCTTTGTTTCTTATCGAAAGGGCGGATTATTTTAGACTAAATTAAAAACAGTGATAGGTTATTAATTATTAAACCACAGACCAACCTTGGTTTGGTTTGCTCTGGTTTTACACAAACGTCAAAATAACAAATACTGTGCGATTAGTCTTGCACTTTTGCAGAGGGTGCTTCTACTTTTATGCAATTAGTATCAAATAAAAGCTGACAGCCTCATATTTAACATTAACTAGGGTTTTCCATGTTTAGACTCGCTCCAAAAATGTAGCACCGAAAATTTTTGTTATTCTAATAGCTACGTAAAACTAGAGCAAACCATAGTTATATGGCTATATTTTTTTCTATTTTTCTTCTATTTTTTTCTCTTATTTTTCTTTGTTTTTTCTCTTATTTTTCTATTTATTTATTTATTTTTTGAGGGCATCTCTTTACTGCTATGTATTTATATTCTCAATCGGTAATAATTCAAAAAAGTTACAACCATAACAACCGCTAGAGACTATTATTTTAAATACTTTTACAGACATGTGTAATCTAATTCTTTTTATGCCTAGATGGCCCAGAGTTTACTTTTATGCTCGTAATTTATGGTTCACAGTTCTTAAGTACAAGGAAATTTACTTTAAATTAGTTCGTTTGAAATCCTACATTTTTTCCAATTATGAACAAGCCAGTTTTACTTTCCTATAACTACTAAGAAAAGTATAGGAATCATAATTTTCGCCGGATCTTTACATTCCGGGGTTCCCTGAATTCATTTTGGCCATTTTTGCGATGGTTTTCGTTTGTCTGTGTGTATGTATCCACGATAACTCAAAAAATGGATAAAGAGAAAAATACCAAATTTTAAACTTAAATGCATCCTGCGGTGAGCTGATGAGATTTTGGACATAGTCCAAGCATCCGGGGGATATTGTATTGGAGGGCGTTCTTTAACTTTAATGTATGATTAGAGAAGAAAATTCATCGAATAAGTGTTGTTTTTGATGCCATTCTCTATCATTTTTGCCATATACATTACTCTAATGGAAAAAATTGAGGAAATGTAAAATTTGAATTTTATCTGTATTTTCGTTAGCAATCAAGATACGTAAAAATGTTTTGAATAAAATGTGTGCAGAATTTTCATTTTTAATTCATATTCAATATAATTTTTGATTAGATGGGCCGTATTCAATATATTTGATAACTTTGCAGGAAAGTTATTATGTGTTGGACACATCAAGTATTAAAGGAAAAATATTCCTGTTCTCAAATATGACCAATTTAAAAATAAATAATAAAGGAAAAATAGAAAATCTCAAAGAACGTGACACGGTCTTCGAGATTTTCTCTTTTTCCTTTAACATCAGGTATTTTTTATTACCCAACGAAATTAAAAATATACCTAAATCATAAATGTTTGAACAATATGAGTCGTCCTGTATTTCGAATTTGTTTAAATAGGGTCAACGATCCTTAAATATACGTTGAGGTAAGGGTAAAACCCTTTATTCATTTTTAATCTTGTAAAGAAAAATTGGAGGATCTTTGAAGCATAATTTTAAATAAATATATAATTTTTGTTGTATATAAATGTAAGATGTGCAATCGTTTTTCGTTCCTTCCAATTTTTCTCTAAAATAATTAAAAAAAAAAAACAAAATAAACGGAACATTCCTGCATTCACTTCAAGTGATTGTCTCTTATTAAATAAAATCAAATTTATCGTGTGTTTTATTTTTGTTAATATATTGAACGTTTTTAATAAAATCATTTATTTACTTTTTGTGTTTCATTTTTTGATAAAATGTCAGAGATATAGGAAGAAGACATATCTTGTCTATGTTAGAGGTAAAGCTAGAAAATATCTTATGTCTTCTCTATCTATTTTAGGTTAGATCCTCTCACTGGCAACAGGCAGACATTATAACTGACCTCATCAAAAAAACTTTACAAAATCTGCCACACACTGTTAAACAAGAATTAGCTATTTATGTAACCGATTTACAAATTACATGTTTGTAGCGAGTGAAAATAAAAATACCTAAAATTCTTTACAATCTCCAGGCATTCTGCACTATGAGAGCAGGCGCCAGTGGCCTGATGCAGGTAACGCACTGTTCACCAAAATTTCAGTAGAAATTTATAAAAAAATCAACAATACCTAAACATTTCTTTTCCTGTAACAAAAGCCCTGCATTTTTGTCTCTATACAAATTACAAAACAGAAACCTCCAAAACTGTACCTAATTTCGGGGTATCTGGACCACTGCATGAAACAAACGAGGCGCTTGATAAAAAAAATCCAACTGTCCGGGCTCGCTTGTTTTTGGAAATATAATAGAAAGATTTCCTAATCCGAGCGAACGAAACGCATGACGCGCTATGCAAAAAAACGGTGAACACGCGTCTCTTCTATCGGCGCGTTTATGATGGTTGCCATGGTAACGACACTTTTCTATCTAGCCGATTAATGCACTTGACGCGTTGATTCAGTTTGATTCTTCCGATCGCACAGTGCGTCGCGGTATAGATCTACCTGGACAAAAATCCTGTCCTAAACCACCAATAGTTTTGGAAAAAATTGGGGATATATTTATATGACAGACTATTATTAATGTACAAATGAAAAAAAATATGGTACCAGACATACAAGGTGTCCCAAATAAATATTTTTTTAAGAAATTAAATACTTATAACTTGGTATTTGTACATACATATATTTTTAAAGATTAGATATTTATAACTTGAAAAATATCTACTTTTTATTTATATTTATTTAAATTTAATAATAATACATAACAAATTATAAAGAAATAGAACTAGGAACTAGGAAACATTGATAAATTAAAAGAAACTATATACAAGTTTATTCACTATCGCTATCTGAAGATTCATTTTCGTCACCGCTTATGTCTATTAGGATCATAGGAGAATCTAAGTTGTTATTATCTATTACAGGCGAATCGATTATGTATTCGTTGATACCACTGAGATTTTCGTTGTGTCTAGAACTATTTTTTCTTAAAGATGATACAAATGGATCAGAAGTTATTAGTAATGAGGTCATTATATCTGTTTGTGTTAACTCTTGAAGATTTTCTTGAATGAAACAGTCGAAATTTACGTATTTCTTTGTGTCTAGCCTCTAAGGCGTCTTCAGATAACTGGCCAATCGGAAGGTCAAAATGCTGAATTATATCTTTTCCGTGAACTAATAGCTTATGCACACTACTAGGCATATAGCACCAATCGTAGAGTTGTAAGTAGAGTAATCTAGTCTCAAGAAGTAACCGGTCAAATTGGATTAAATTAATTTTCTTACCGCTAGCAATTGTTCGTAAAATAATGGAAAATTTTAATATTAGCTCTTTGTTGATACCTGTTACTGCGGAACTAAGATCAGCGTTATTAAAAAACCTTCTTGGTGTGTTACCGTCATTCGTGGATCTGTAACCCGGTTTTGGTTTATCGACTACCAACCCCATCTTGGTTTTGAACTCAGCCTGAATATATTTTTTACGATCTTCGTAGATTTTTTGTTTTCAAATCCTCTAACCTGCCAAATTTTTAATGGTAGTCGATAAGATATGTGTAACAAACACTCAAAGCAACGAATCCACGAATGCAGTGAGGACAATCCAAAATTGAAGTTCTAAACTTTAACAGGTTTTTTAGTGACTGACTGTAAATTCATTTCCTTTGGGGGCTCCGCAGATAAAACATTTTTGTGTCGCATTGGTACTTGACAAAGTATTAATGGTACTGCCATCTAACATTGTCATTAATAAAGTGTAATTAACACGAAGCCGTTTTTCCTTGAACACTATTTCAAAATCTGATAAATTTTTTAATTTTAGCTTCTTCCTCCAAAATTAATTTTGATGTTTCTTTGGCGAATATAAATTTAATTGGCCTGCAAAAAAAGGTTGATGAAGTTCTGGGATTAGCCCAAATAACTTGGCCAGTTATTTTATTAATTAGTTGAATGGGTGATAAAGCTATTAGAAATAAATATTCATCGGTCATTTCGGGGTTTTTAAACGTTTGTTTGTAAGTGCTATGCCCAGAACTTCCATCAAATCCGTATTTGCAAAACAGTATTTAATATACTTTCTACTGTGATATTTAGTAATTCTTGTAGATTTACTTCTGCACCGCCCTCAGTAACATCGATATTTCTTGGTATTAGCTGATGTCTATGCTCCCTAATGATAGCTATTCGAGGAAAACAGTTTGGGTGTAAGTTATTTACAATATAACGTAAAAGGTTGTATTTTCGTTCTGTTAAATTTAAATCTAAATACAGCGCGAGTGCTTGTTCTGATGATAAAATCTTAGATTTACCTTCTGATCCCGAAGAACGCAAACGTGATGATTGTTGAGTGGCAAAATATAGCTCCTCCATAGTGTAATTCTTGACCAAGTTTTCGACTCGCCTTTTTTTAGTTTTAATACTGCTTTCTTGAAAAGGTAATTGAGGACGTCCACGGTTTGCTTTAGGAATATGAGAGTTTTGGGCTCTATTGCTCTCCGTATATGACCTAAAGGTGTCCGTCGTGTATATTTCTTGTTTAAGCCATTCTCCATGGTCTTTCAAAAAACGATTCCGAATACGTGCAGATTTCTGCATTTCTTGTCTATGGCTAGACAAAAAAGTGTGAAACTTTATCACATTCTTTTTTGATACCATCAGAATTGTCGGATAAATTTAAAGAACTTAGAATTTTCTTCGAAACTTCTGCCTGCCTTTTAAGTTTTTCTGTTGAAATCCATATTTCAAAAAGATCGCTGTTTTTTAAAGACATTCAGCAACTAAAAATAAAAAATTAAATTACTTGTGCAAATGTGAGCAATTTAAGTGCTCACATTCATGGCAAATAGAGTGTACATTCACAAAAGGAGGTTTGTGCGTGAATGCAGTAGTTCATTTATCATGACAAATAGATGTATAAAAATTAAATTAAAAAGTATACATTCATAAAAGGAAATGTTTGAGATTCACATAATAGAATTTTAAACAATTTAACTGTAGAATATAATATAATATAAAAGGACAATAAAAAAACAGTGTTAGTAAGATCAATTAGAATATTAATAGACATTAAATTATTAAGTTATTTTTTTCAAATCACGATAAGATTGACAGACTATAACATGTTTCATTTCGCGGCGAAATAAAGTTTTGCAATGTAGTAGTCGGAAAAGATAGGATCCAATTTTTTATTTTCTTTTTAAATAAACTTGCGGAGTTAATTTTTTTTAAATCAGATGGTAATTGGTTATACAACTTTGAAGCCAGGTATGTAAAACTTTTTTTTCCTATAGCTTTTTTCATTTTGGGTATTACGGCAGCGCTTTCCTTATATCTAGTTGGATAGCTATGTCGGATTGACTTTATCTTTATGTTGTTTTAGTAAAATCACTTTTACGTATAATAAAGAATTTTGAGGTAAGTTAATTTTAGGATGTTAGAAATATTTTTAAGTTTATATAGCACAAATCTTAGTTTTTTTATTAAATAGTTTATTTGATGGTCCCATCTTAAATGGGAATCGAGGAAAATTCCGAGATATTTAATTTTATTTGATGTTTTTATATGAAGCATTTCTCTTGTGGATATAGTAATAGATATTTGTTCAAATGGTGGTAAGTCGGAGCTATATGAAGTAAACGGCAAGAAAAAGGTTTTTTTTATAATTTATTGTAAGTAGTCTGCTCTCAAAAAAATTATTACTATATATACTATTTTAACAAAGTCAAATTCAATGTCATTTTTGAGAGCTGACCAATTCTCATTTTTATAGAAGACCGCGGTCATCAGCAAAACTCACAATATCCACCTTTTGTGTCTTGTAGAAATATATCATTCAAGTATATATTAAATAGAATTGGTCCTAGGACTGTTCCCTGTGGTACTCCATATTTTACAACTCTGAAATCACTGTGAGTTCCACTAATATTCACACACTGTTTTCTTTCGTTCAGGTAACTCTCAAATAGCTTGTAAGCAATACCCCTAAATCCCGCATTTTCTAGGACAGATAATAGCTTCTTGTGATCGACGGTGTCGAATGCCTTAGCCAGGTCAACAAAAATGGCAATGGAAGGTTGTTTTTTGTCTAAAGCATTGTTTATCATTCCTAGTAACCTGGTTATTGCATCCGATGTTGACATATTTTCACGGAACCTGTACTGTTTATCTGATAATATGTTATATTTTTTTTATAAATGATGCTATTCGTATCTGTAATATTTTTTCAAACACTTTTCCTACGTTAGACATTAGTGAATGTGGTCTATAGTTTTCAGTTTCCATAGTATTTCCATCTTTAAACTGAGGTAGAAGTTCTGCAATTTTTAATATCCTTGGAAACTTACCATCATTTATTGATTTGTTTATTAAGAATGTCAACACAGGTGCTATTTGTGTACATACTGTTTTAAGGGTTTCTGATCGAATGCCATCTAGCCCTGGTGACTTGTTATTTTTTAAACTCATTATGGTTTCTATTACCTCGTTTACATCGGTGTCTGAAAGATAGATTGCTTTGCTTATTTTTTGTTGTTTAATATTTTTTACCATGTTTTTATTGTTTATTTTGTTAGCAATTTTTTCTCCAACGTTTGTAAAGTAATCGCAGAATGCATTTGCAATTTGTTTTGGGTTATGAACTATAGTATGTGCATGTGTTTTAATTTCATTTATTGGCCTTTTTTGTTTTTGAGTGTTTGATATTTCTCTAACACATTCCCATAATTTTTTACCAACATCTTTAT